GCTAATACTGTACAGATTTTAATCTGTTGGCTAGTTAACTTATACAAACTCTTTAAAAAGCTGTATGAAGTGTTTTAAAAATGTGTTTATAGCTTTTATGGAACCTCACTTCTCATTCAGAGACCTTTTTCTGTTATTAGGCGAACATTTTTAAGGCATTTGCTGAATTGTTCCAAGTTGCTTCAGCTAAACCTGCACCTCTTGGCATCTGTGATTATCCATCATCAAGAGCAATATATGCCATTGACTTGATGCTTAAATGGGACACCAGCAGAGATGGTGAGAAACTCCTTTCTTTAAATGTTGAATTCTTTATATTTTCAGAAATTTATTTCCTCTGTCTGAACTCTTACTGTTTTTCAAGCAGTGTAAGCTGTGTGCTCTGCACCTCCCACGGCCATCAAAGCATATCTGGATTTGCAGATCTGTGGGTTAGCATTTGCCGTACTGGTTAACAGGAATGATGGGGGAGCTGTTAACTGTGCTTGGCTGACTCCTTGCTTCCCTTGTGCCCCTGCTACTGCCATTCTCTGTTTAAAAAGAAAATAAAAATTTAAAAAACCTAACCACAAAACACCACACACACAAAAAAAAACCCTAGCTGTACAGCAGTGTAGTCGCTCTGACAGCAGCAAGTTTTCTTTCCCATTTATGGTGAGCGAATGTCTGAAATACCTGTCTCTTTATGAAAACCTTAAAGAAACATCTTATCTGTGGCTTCCAGGCTTGAAGCAGCATCTTCAATGCACAGTTACTTATTAAAGCAGGGAAGGGACCACATTCACCACTTCAGTGCTATTGATGTCCTCAGGACTGTCATTCAGTTGTTGCCAAGTCTCTGCAAGAACATGTATGTGAAGCTGCTTCATGTTAGTGCCACAGCGTGGCTAACTACCTGGAGCCTTTCTTCCAGCCAGTTGTGGAGGACTGGTAGCAAAACTTGCCAAACAGGTTGAATTCTTTATCTCACCAAGAGGCTCAGAAATGTTTTGTAAGCGTGCCCAACACAGACACATGTGTCTCTTGCAGGTAGAAAAGTAGCAGAGGCACCAACACAAAGAGGACTGACAGGGGAGTATTAAACAGAACTGAGTGTGCTCTTTTCTTGTGATATTGTGGTCTCCAGGACACAGGAGAAATTAATTGCTTGTGCCGAGGTTTGCCAGAGGAGTGATTAGATGTTGTATGTTGGATGGGTGTCACTAGCCTACTGCTGCAGTGGCTGATTCTGTAAATACTGAATCACTTTCATGGAAGGAAATAATTGAGAAACAAGGGGTGTGGAATTGAGCCTTTGCTGTTCAGATCAGGTGGAGCAAGGGTTTGAATCTGGGTCTGCTACATCCACGTTGAATGCTCTTTCACCTGTCCCAGAGTTTAGTTGAATGGGAGAGGCAAAGCTACTCACTAATATTGCTAGCTCGAGGAAAACTATTATAGTAAAAGGACCAACCTCACATTACAGCCCTGACTGAACATGAGTTGCGCAGGTCCCTAGCCTTATGAAGATGGGGGCATGGGTGCCAGTGTCACGGCTGTGATGCTGTAGGCAGCCTATGGACAAATAGATTAGTCCCTTCTGTGCAGAGCAGAGTATGGTTTACTTCTGCATCAGAAGCTTGTACCCTCACGATCTCAACACCAGACAGGAAATAAAATCTTTTGTTTCTCTTTGCACAGAGTGCATTTGATCCTGAATTCTGAACTGTACTGATGAAGCTTTAAGAGAAAATTAAAGTGCCTGACTTCCTTCTAGGAGTGAGATGAAGTGGCAGGTGGGAGTGGCTGGAGTGTAAAGGAGCAGGACTGCTAGAACTGGAAAGGCAGATATCCAAGAGCTTTAAGAAAGGAAGGGTTGCACTGAAATGTGAAAGGAGAAGCAGAGTTTTCTGGAAGATGTTTCAGACTGTCAAGCAAGACAGCTGTATCAGGGAGATCCTATTAAAATGCTGTGAATTCTCATTCTAAATGAGACATTGAATTAGCACTGTGATTGCAGAATCTGTTTAATAATTGTCCTCTGGATAACGATGGTAGGACAGACTTCCATACCTCCTAAGAAAACCAAACCCGCTGAAATAAAAACACCCTACCAGCTTGGGTTGTGAAAGATGGTTTTTTCCAGTTATTTTCTATAATCTCTGGCTTAAAGATAGGTATTGCTTCAGGATCTCTGTAGAGCTTGTATTAAGAGGCAATGTTTGTGTTCCCCTTTACAGGGAAAAGAATTATGCAGCCTCAGATCCTGGAGGTGAACTTTAATCCTGACTGTGATAGAGCCTGCAAATACCACCCTACCTTTTTTAATGATGTCTTCAGCACCCTATTTCTGGATGAAACAGACAGCTGCCATGTGACGTGCATTGTCTAGCCACAGGAGGCTTGACTCTTAATTTCCTTCCCAGATATGCTTAACAGCAAGTTTTATATTTCAGTTCTATGAGCTGCTGATGCAACTATTTTCCTATACTGGTAAACCAGGAAAAAAATATTCGTAGCAGAAGGATATCCGTATACCATATACTGTATTGATAATCATTTTGTCTGCATTTTCCTTGTCTTGCTTAGTTCTATAAATCATCAGTTTGTGTTGACCAAATATCTTGTTTGTTGAATATGGGAGATGTCAAAATAGGACAGTAACTGGAGCAATTGACTTGTTTCTCAGGTAGCCTGCTTGCTTGCTGGGAAACATTGCACAAGTTCCCTGTGTCAACATTAAAACTATAATTTACTGAATCATATGGGAGTTTGTATGTCTCTTTCTTATCTATCCCTCTTATACAAAGATCTAAAAATATTCTGATGGGAAGATAATATGGTATTTCAGTGCAATGAACTACTAGGGTAAAGAGATTAAAGATTTGACGGATCTTCCTATTTTTCTTATTTAAAAAAAGGTGAACAAAACCCACCTTTAGGAACCCTGTACTGCTGGCTGTTGTGCTTAGTCTGCCCTTTAAAGAAACTGGATTTTTGAGAAGGGGTCAGGCAGGAAGTGAGAAGGATGCAATGTCTAGAGCAGCACAGGAATGCAGAAGAAGCCTGAAGGAATAAAAGGGATCTGGAAAACTGCTAGAAGCCCAAGCAGTCTTTGGACTTTGAAGTTTAGGGCCTAAGATTAAGGTATTTGGGAGTTGGGCATCAGTTTGAAATTAATCATTCCTAATATCTCCTCTCTCTGAGTAACTGGCTGAAATTTAGCAATTTTAGGCTGTATTTTGTTGCTTTGTATAAGTACAAGTAGCAAAAATTCTGCTGTCTGTTGTGAAGTATATATTATGTGGGTAGTGTTTTTTAAGCTAGTTTGCAGCAATTGGGATCTGCTTGAGAGTGAAGTACATGTATAAAATTATATAAATGTTCTAAACCCTGCTTCAAGCTTTGCAAATATGCAGCATGTTACCCCTCGTGATCTGGAAGGGAGAGGGATATTTTAGGCTGCTCCAAGATGGTCAGAAACCTGCTTCTTTCCACTGACTGGAACATAGGCTGGAGAAATAAACCATCTGTGTCTTACAAAAATTCAGTTGCTGTGCAGGTGGGGCAGAAGGGATAGCTGGATTGCACAGCTAGAAGTGGTGCTGACAGCTGTATCAGTCTTCTCATGAGTCAGAACTTTTTTGGACTCCTTACTTAAATGCAATTAAATAAACATGGTGAAGTGTTTAACATAAATGGTGTGACTACTTCCAGTATAGGGAGAAAGCTTCTCTGTGGCATAGAATATAGTAATGGATGCTTGAGACTGGACGTAAGGGGACATGCAGTGCTGCTCAGCGGATGTATTTGTCACTTGTAGGAGAGCAGAGGGCACTTTCTGCCTTCAAAATACCTGAAAACATGTAACAAAGTGCCTGTGGATCTAGAGTAAAGGGGAAGATTTCCCTCATAAGGAAAGGAAACTGATGTCACACTTAGCAAACCAGAAGTAGTAAGATTTCTGCAGTGGGACCACAAGGTGTGGGCAAAAATAGTCTGTTGTTGTGCTCTTAAACAACAGAGATGTTTTTATCTTATAGGAAGCAACTGGTTGAACTATGCATCCCAGATCTTACTATGTCAGCTACTGTAACCCTGAAGAGAAGAAACCCTTGTTTCTATTTCTAAGCAGCTGAAGTGAGAAGGTGCAGGTAGGAGAGACTAGTAGCTATGGTGTATGTACTGCCTTGCTGGGCAACAGACCCACCCGTGGCCTGGCTGTCGGCTCCACTGTCAAGGTCTAGTGGTGAACTGAGGTCATACTGAGGGTCCGGGTGGAGTGGGTTAGTGCTGTTTGGCCAGTGCTGCTGGTGATGCCTCAGAGGTGTGTGCAGGGGGCTGCTGAATATTTGGGTCCCCTCAGTTTCTGTCCGGGTGCTCTGAATTTCCTGGTTTGTCTTCCCCATTGCAGTGGTGAGGAGAAAAGATGAAGGGGCTATCTTTGAGTCTATAGCACCCTGTTGCCTTCGGTATTTTTCTGCTTAAAACCATTTAAAAACAATAAAAACAGATGAACAAGGTTAGTAAGTTTACATGTAGTTTAATGCATTTAGCTGACACTAGATTGTACAATGCTTTGAAGTGGGAAGGCACAAATTGTGAAAAAGATCTCGTCTTAAACATTTCCGGAGTACAATGACCAGAAGATAAATATCTGGCAGCTGTAGTGGGACACAGCACTAAAGCACTGTGTCTAGTGGTAAAAATAAAAGATTCAGGCCACAGTCATGCCTGTAACTGTTAGGAGCAGCTTTGTGGAAGCTGTGTTAATATATGACTGGATTTCTTCCTCTGAACATAATGAAGCTGGAGTTCATGCTTATTTCTGGTAATAGTTAAAATGTTGTTCTCATATAAAAGGTGATGCTTTAATACAGAAAACTAGTGCTTTTCAATCAGCACTATCTTTTAGTTTGCTATAAAACCCTGTCAGGCATACATCCCTTTGTCACTTGCCTAGTAAAGGTGTATTTGTTTTAAACAAGTACTGCTTTGTCAACTTGTAATTAGCAAACTAATGATTTAAGTAGTTCAGCTAAAAATAAAATTAGGCCATACTTTATTTAGAAAATTCGGGGGGGGGGTGTGGGGTGTGAATCTTTTTGGCTGAAAACTGTTTATTCAGATTGTTTCTTGTTGCGATTGTCCTTCCAGATACGGTAATTGAGCGCAGAAGCCATGGTTAGCCAAGCTAAATAAGGAACCATCAAATAAGCTGCTGTTTTGTTGATATTATACCACGAAGCAGTTGTAGCTGTTGCTGTACCAGTTGCCAGCAGGAGAGTCACCAATCCCTGAAACACAGGAAGGTGGTTAGTGGTGGTTTTACTTTTTGCATTTTCTTGACTAGATAGTCTTTGTGTTGCTCTTTCTATTTAGCTCTGGCACTTGTTGAATCCCTCTGAGAGTTAATTCTTTCTCAGAAAACCGGCCAGCAAAAAAAAAGATAGATTTCTGCTGAGTTGTGAGTCAATTGGCTCACAAAATGATACAACAGTCAAGAGAAATGCATTCCAGCTGGGGGTGGGAGAGGGAGAATAAAATCCCTCTCACCCATACCCTCTTCTTTTGGCAGCGGGAAGTGTTACATTGACTACGAACCCAGTGTGACTTTAAGCAAGTCACTTCAGCTAAGTAAACTTGTGCAGTCTTTTCATGTCATAGATGCTGCCTGAAGAGATGCGGTGTGAATGAATCAATGATGGATTGCAAAGTCTTCTACTATTACAGCATTGCATGTATATTTAGAGAACCAGGCAAATATTTTTTATTTTTATTACTGATTTTTATTTTTGAGGCAAGCTGTTTCTCTTCAGACTGCAGAAGATTAGTTTTGTCTAAAATAGGTGCTGATTACCCAAGTAATGTTATGATCAACTTCTTATCGCTGCTGTTTGCCAGAGATACTTAGGAATTTTAGTAAGGTGTAAATTACAGTTTCTAGTCACACAAAGCTCTTACCAAAGTGTGGCAGAAAGAGCTTCTTGAAAACTAAAAATTTAAGGGTGTTGTAGATATGTAAATTCTCTCAGGTGGCTGCTGGCGTGCATTAAAGAGAATTTCAGAAAATTTCTGCAAGCCATATTCTGTACTCGGGTTCATTTTCAGGGTGAAAAGATTATAACACCAAACTTGCGTCTTAGTACCTTGCAAATGACAGCAGAAGCCTGTGATTAAGAAACTTACTTTTCCACTTACCCATCCCATTTTGTGAGCTCCAAAAAATATTGGAGTCCATCCCCAGTTTAATGCCAGCTGCCCTGCATACAGACCCAGAGGAACCACCGATTTTTCATTGAAGCCCCCTAATTCTTTCCACACCAAGTAGGAGCCATATCTGGAGAAAGCAAATGGAAAGTGTAATTCAGTATACTGGTTAGAAAGCAACCACACGTTCTTGATAAAATGAAATAACTTCAGTGCTAGGGTGTAGATTCATTTGGAAAAGTAGATATCCAGGCACTACTTGGCAGAGTAACTGACAGTACACGGTTGATCATCTGCTGCAGATAGCAATATGGGGAGAGAAAAATTCCCTATCCTGCCAGAGTTCTCACTTCTAGGTGCAGAGGAGCAGATGACCTACTGTATTTCAGTCTTCAAAGAGAATGCCATGTTGAAATGGAAGCAGGTCTAAGATGCAAAGGTAAAAAGTAATTCTCTCAATAGTGAAGAAACTTAATTTTGGTACTAGGAGATGGTGCATTAAAAATAAATTAAAAAAAAAAAAATAACAAAACCCACTAACTTTTTAAATGGATGAAACGAATATAGGAGAAGTAGGAATTGAGTGGCATCCCAAAGCACAGTGAGTATGGAGATGGATGGTGTTAGAGCAGGAGGAACCCTGTAGTCACTCTTCAGAAGGATGGGGATGAAGATGGGGAGAACAAAGATTTTAGGAGTTCTGTGGAAAGAATTAACCACAATGAGCATCCAGCACCCTTTGTGTCTACAGGATCCCAGCTACTGAAAGATCTTCCAAAAATATTTTGAAGATTTTGAACAGATCTTTTTAATGCCACAGAAGAATAGTTCACTGGAGGGATCCCAGAATGTAAGCTGCTAAAGACAGGAATTCTCAGGATTTGGGAGATTTACTGATGTAAGGTTTATTTTTTGCACTGAAGGACCCTGATTACCACAGGGAGCATTCATCACCTAAGACTGTTTCTTATCATAGAATGGTTTGGTTGGAAGGGATGTTAAAGATCATCCAGTTCCAGCCCCCCTGCCATGGGCAGGAACACCTTCCACCAGACCAAGTTGCTCCAAGCCCCATCCAACCTGGCCTTGAACACTTCCAGGGATGGGGCAG